ACCAAGTCGCCAGTTCTCATCTTCCAGCTCCCCAGCTACTCCGCGTATTAAATTTGTACTACAAAGTCGCCAGTTCTCAGTTGTCGGCTTCCAGCTCCACAGATTGCTCCGCGTACTAAAGTTGTACTAGAAACTCGCCAGTTCTCAGCTTCCAGCTCCACAGCTACTCCGCGTACTAAAGTTGTACTACAAAGTCGCCAGTTCTCAGCTTCCAGCTCCACAGATTGCTCTGTACTAGAAAGTCGCCAGTTCTCAGCTTCCAGCTCCCCGGCTACTCCGCGTACCCCAGCTATTCCGCGTACTACAGTTGTACTACAAAGTCCCCAGTGCTCATCTCCCAGCTCCCCAGATACTCCACGCCTCGACGCGCACGCTCTCCGCAGAGGGTTGTGCGGGCACCCGCCAAATCACACTCTCGCCTGCATTTCGCGCACTCGACGCACGATCTCCGCAGAGGGTTGCGCGGGCAGCCGGCGAATCGCACTCTCGCCTGCATTTCGCGCACTCGACACGCACGATCTCCGCAGAGGGTTGCGCGGGCACCCGGCGAATCGCACTCTCGCCTGCATTTCGCGCACTCGACACGCACGATCTCCGCAGAGGGTTGCGCGGGCACCCGGCAAATCGCACTCTCGCCTGCGTTTCGCGCACTCGACACGCGCGATCTCCGCAGACTTAAAGGATCTGTTTTTTACTAACTAGTTATCATAATTAAGATAAATAGATAACTTTTGTTAACTAGTTATAACTAGTTAGCATCTCAATTTTTTTCAAAAGGCAAACATTGTTTTTTTCAATCAGCTTCTACAAAAAAAGACATGCAACACAACAAACCCAATGCACCACAGGCTATCGCAGCCATCAGCCAACAGCCTTTCAAAAGTTTCTGCTATAGCCATCAACAACAAACATCCTGTCCATAGCCCAGAACATATGTCAGCCAACAGCCAACAGGCTTTCAATAGCCAAAGGGCTTTGTTCACAGCCAGCAGGCTTCTTCCCATAGCCAACAGGCTTGCTGAGGCAGCCAACAGGCTTCAAACAAAAAGCCAACAGGCTTCAAACAAACCCATCCAGCGACAAAACCATCACACCAACACATTTTTTCACCTTCCATGCAGGTCATGTGCAAAGATGGCAAAGGGCAGCAGGATGGTGACATTCTCCCTGTTTGCTTGTGCATATGCAACTGGTGTCAACAAGTCGGCTGCCTCTATCAAGCCCATGTTTTCTGTTGCTTTGCAAACTACATGCTGCTGCCCAGGTTTGTATTGCTCCACCAGTGTCCACATTTTCAACACTGTCCAACATGTTTCATGCATTTGGAAGTGGAGCAACACCTGCCCTACATTGAACTGCATGGTGCTGGACACACTTGTATACAAAACAACATCTCCTTTACTCACTCTGCATCCACTGTCAAGTTTGGCCTCCAGACTGGTGGTTGCCTGGCTAATGTCTTCCCCTAAGATGTCTGACAGCCATTGGAGGCACCTCTTGGAAGCATTGCAAGGCTGCGTCAGGTGGACCCCCTCTGTGAAGCAACCTGGTTGCTGCAAGACAGAAACCTCCTGTGCAACAACCTGTTCCAGCAAACTCCTTTCATAAGCGCGTGTGTATTTCATAGGAGTTGCATACTTTGTAATTGCTTTATGCTTTCGCTCAGCAGTAAAGCAACTTGGGAGCATCTGGTGTCTTCCATATTCATCAGCCAGATGCAAGAGCCAATGAAACTTTTTCACCCAACCCTTGTCAAAGTCAGCCTTGCCAAAGCTGGCCAAGCACTTCTCTACTCTTGCAAGCAAAGAATCCCTTGTGACCATGCCAGCAGGAATCCCAGAATGCAGCAAATCCAGGACAGAGCCTGAATTGACTTGAAAGAACAAATAATGCAGCCAACTGGCTTTGGTTTGTGCACAGCACAGCATAACATGCAACAGGCTTCAAGAAGAAACTGTTTGAGATTGCAAAACAATCCAACAGGCTAAAGACTAAATAGCCAACAGGCTTCAACAAGAAACTGTTTGAGATTGCAAAACAAAGCCAACAGGCTAAAGATTAAATGGCTTCAACAAGAAACTGTTTGAGATTGCAAAAGGAAGCCAACAGGCTTGAGCTAAAATAGCCAACAGGCTTTTCTGAAAAAAAGGGACCTATTTATATCAAAGCCAACAGGCTGCAGTGGACAGCAGCACCTTTTTTCTGGTCCCGCCACTTTGTGGTCGCCATTGAGTCACCAGGGCCTGTTAGGATCACGCCCATACTGCTGCAGCTGCCTGTTGTGCTGGTCCACAAGGTCGCCCATAGTCTGCTGCTGGTCCCTGCAGGGATCAAGTGTGATGTGGTGAAGCAACACGAGACCACAAAACCAAAGGTTGCAACACCAATCACCACAACACTGGAAAACTATAGAACATATATGTTTATTTTCCCAAGTGCCTTCCAACTGTGAATCTCCTGTACCTGGGTAGTACCCAATGGATTTCCAAGAAACAGGTAAACCACAGAAAAGAACCAAAGAAAACAGAACAAAAGCAAACCTTTATTGAACCAAAGAAGGATGCTGAAGGCAGAGGCGGTTCATCTCCCTCCAGTCTTGTCGCTCCCAGGCAGCAATCAAACTCACAGCCCTGTTTGCCCAACCCATTCTCTCTTGTGAAGGTCGGTTTTGCTGCTTCCCATAGCCTTTACCTTTTCCTTCTCCCTTTTGAGGTGGTGGGCCAGCAGGTTCTGCAGGTCGAAGTCTGCTTGTAGGCACTGCTTCATCTGGAGGTGGAACAGGAGCTTGGTCACT